AAATCGGATTCAAAAAGATTATTATAATTAATTGAAATGCGAATACATTTTATTATAATATTCAACATTGAATTGAATAACAAAACGAAAGAATAAATTAAAATTTAAAAAGAAATGCAAACGAAGTGAAACCAACACAATGTTATAGACATAGTATAAAGTGAATCGAAAATATGCTTACAATGAAACATCCGGGCTCTTTGCCCTGAAGGAGGTGTACGACACCCCCTCTTCCAATTTCGGACAAAAACCAAATCGGGTGACAACGGATCAGATGCTCCAAGAGTCCAATTGTGGCCGGAATTGATTCACAACTGGCGTCTGAATTGTCATCATTTTTGTCATCAATTGATGTATTATTGGACAGACTCTCCACTTCTGACGGGTTTTGTTTTTCCTTTATTTCAATTGCATTACATTTCTATAGGAATTGATTTATTTGATTATTGAAATAAGTTATAAAAACAAAACATTTTGTATTGAATTCTAAACATAAATTTGAATTTTTGAACTCAAAAATAATAAATTTTAAAACAAATTATCATTTTGTGAATACATTTCCACAATTTTTAGACAAATAGTTAAAAATAGAAAATTGAAGTTTATTTAAGAGAAACTTATAAAAACCCAAAGAATATAAACAAAAGCCAAAAGCGTTGCAAAGACTTACAGAAAGAGACTCTGAATTATGAGAAGTGATACCAAAGTTATCCATCACTGAAAGCAATTGCGAGCTATAAGAAGGCTTTTTAGTCTCAGTTTGAGAAGACATTAAAGTCGAAGAATTTATCATTTGTTTAGATGAGGACACAGACGAGGAGTGAGCCGTAAAAGTTGGCAAAAGAGCGCAGAAATTAGTTTGAGATAGAGTTGGGGTCTTATCAGGTGATACCTCAGCGCAAACTAGAGATAAGAGGTTTGGAAATAATATTAAGGTTTTGCATAGAGTTAGCATAATATGCAGAATATGGCGATCAATGTATCGCTAAATAAATGTTTAATCAAATATTTTGTTCAAAAGAGGTTTCAATAATAAAAATATCGCTTACTTTTGTGATCATATGGTTTGTTGTGGAAATGGTTTGGATCTGTATTTGGTTTTGTTTGCTGTTGTGAATCATTTCCTGCAATTCCGACAGCAATCGACTCGAATAGAAGGGTGTCTTCTGGTGAGGAACCGCTCCTCTCTGGTCGCCGGCCATTATTGTCGGCATTTTCATCGATAATTCCATGGCTTATATTCTTCGATATCTCAAAGTCGGGCGACAAATCCTGTAGCGCGAGGTCTAAATCCTTGGCCACATCAGTGATCAACTGATCCACACATTGATAGCAGATGTCATGAAAATGACCAAAAATCCAATCATTAGTAAACAAGTAATGAGATAAACATTTCACACAGAATTGAGTTCATAGTAAAAGAGCTCACAATAAAACAATTGCAAACAAACTCTCAATTCATTGTTAATTAATCTATGGATGAGTTGTAAAACAAATCAAATGCAAAATAAGTCACAAAAAACATTTGATACACAAAATAAAAGTCAAACTATTTGTTAAAAAACTAAATCAATTGATTAGTGATTGCGAGGAAATGTATCGATGAATGGGTTTTCAAAAAGTGAGTTAAAAGTCACGAAAATTCAAAACAAAAAAAGACAAATCACTGAAAAAAGACCGAAAAGACGGCTATATTTATAACGCATTGAATCATTGGTTACATAAAAAAATACACAGAATTGGCGTTTGAGTAGTGATTGAGGTCTGGAAATGGCAGTCAATTTGAGTGACAAAAACCAATGATATTATACTTTAAATGACTGAATGGATAAGTGATTGAGAAATGAAACACACATTCATTGGATTTTCCTGTATTGAGACCAGAGTTCAGATCTGAGATGCGATCAGAAGAGTGAGCGAAACACAACTAAAGGAAAGTTTTGCGATAACATGCCATTCAATGCACACATTGTGCACAACAAACAACACTTACATTACAACCCTATGAAACCAAAGGCATTGAAAAACTATTACAATTCATATAAGAAAACGGGATTTACGGCTCAAATGCCTAAACAAATGGCATAACATTTTAAGTTATATATCACTTGTCTTATAGTTTAATAGCGAAGGATAACTGGTTTTCTCAATACATAACCATTCAATGCATTCATTCATTCAATTCACTCATAATTTAACTGCAAATTCAAACATAATATTTGTGTTAAACATATCTATTGTGAGCAAACATTTGAAATCAATTTTCATACACTTATTTACAATTATAATACAATTATTGTACATATGATATGAATATGATATCAATAGCAATGGTATGAATGGTATGAATAAGTGATAATAAAATGTCTTAAGCGTTGAATACCTCCCAAAAGTTGCATTCATTGGACGTCTTCTCGTCACTCATTAATTGACGGCTCGTTTTCTCGTCATTTAAATGAATACTATTTTTCACACATTTTATACTATTATTACCGAAACTCATACTAGAAATCAATTCAATTATTAATCAATATATGATTGTATACTAAATATACAGACAAAACACAATCAGACTATTCGTTGAAACCATTATTGCATTCACTGTTTCACTAAATACTTCATTCACTAAATCATATAAACATTACATTAGATGTGATTTAATCACTGATTTTGCATTCAATTTGCAATCAAAACAATGTATTGAAAAAATACTTTCACTTTTTACAAAAATTCATATAAAAAATGAGTGCAAAAAACACATGAATTTACAAAATAGCGATTCAATTGTGTGTTTCAATCAAAACATTGATTACATTACTATTTGATGAGTAAGTGTTGCATAAAAAGAGTGATTAAAAATCTATCGTTTCATTCAATGCCTAAAAACACTGTTTGTATTAAATGTTTAATTCAATGCAAATATAAAGGGATTTCAACACACATTACGTGACAAATAAGTGAAACCCTTGTGTTTGAAATGCAAAACACTATTCAATGCACACATACTGTGTATGTATTGCTTGTGTTTGTCGTCTCTCTGTGTCTGAAAAGCAAAACGTTATTTACTATTGATATTAATTTTTGGTCTCTTTTCTATGGCATTGAAGTTTAGCACAATTTTGAGTCTCGATATGCAATGGATGGGCGTTACCAGCGATGCTCAGGTCATTGGCTCCCCATATATGCATCCATTCATCACATCCAACATCTCATCCATGCATTCAAATTGCATTCAAAATACTATTCAGATATCAGTTGTCCTCCAATTAAGACACCAATACCTACGCTATTAAGACAATGTCCTCTCTATTACCCACACTATAAAGTAGATGAATGACAGGCGGCAAGAGTTGAATGCATTCGCATAATTAATTGTCTCCGATATTGAGTTTAATTGTCTATTAATGACATTTGATTGTTAGCAGAGTTTTGCCATTAAACGTGCCGTTGATTACAGTATTAGTAATACTGTATTACAGTTTTCAGAGCATATCATAAATCTAGTGATGAGGGGATCGGGAGGTTTGGGATAGGGATGAGTCACTTATGTTAATAAAAGCTCTGATTGGGTATCGGGTTATTAAAAGAAAATGTTTTTGGTTTAGAAATTAAGATTAAAAGTTTGGGCCACTCTTTGAATGCAAAACCAAATTTTATGATTGACTTTAGTATACATTAGATATCGGGAAAAAATATTTAGATATGATATATAAAAACGTTTCATTGCTTTTGACTTACGATAATGAAAACGGACGCAAAACTCTCCGAATCGGAGACTCCGATAGAGTGAACATTAAATACAAAAAATGCTTTTACATACAGTATTGTATTTGCGGACCAAATGAATGCTTGAAAAATAGTTAATTTGAGAGCAAATGAATCATCGATTGTAAAGAAAAAATCGAGAGAAAGAGTATTTCAAAAAATATTTGAAACAAGTATTGGGAATGAAAGGCATTTCAATTGAAAATAGTTTTTCAAAAAATAGTTTCCTCTCTTCGAGTGTATCACTAATTCATACCATATTTTCTTCGATAATTCGCGAGAAATAAGTCATAGACTTATAATTTTGCGGTTTATATCCCCAGAAGGCATTCAATAGAAAGCACTTGCATTCATATTCTTGTTTAACTAGACATTTATTTATACATTAATTCATATACAGAACTGTTATATCAATGTTTAAATGAAATGTTTATTAAAACAAAAGAAAAACACAATTTGACTCTCGGATCAAATTATTGTCATTAAAATTGAGATTTTGTAAACTAATGTCTAGTTTTATTAGCCATTCAATAGCTGAGTGCTGAGGAATGTATGGCAAAACCATAGGACAAGTCAAGGTTTGCCTTGATTTGCAAGGTGAGAGGGTTCTGGTCAAGGTGAAAGGCGAGGGTCTCACCTTGACATAGACAGGTCAAGGTGAGAGCAAATGTAATTACCGTATGTCTATTTTAGGTATTTATTGTAATGAATACACTATGTAAAGCACAGAATAATATTTATTGCCTATTTGTATAATAGCAAAACAAGCCCTTTATTAAAAACCTTTCATAAGAACTTATGTATTGAAAAAGCCCGTATTTTATATGTAAAATACACTGTACTATAATAAAACTTAATGTTGTAATTAAATTAAAACTTAAATTAACATTTTACTCATATTTCAAAAATATTTATAATCAAATATGCAATAATAATAGTGGTCAAGGTTTGGTCAAGGTGAATTTAGAAAATATTTGCATTTTTCAAGGCGATAGTCGATCAGAGTTGGCAACACTATACAGAACTGTTATATCAATGTTTAAATGAAATGTTTATTAAAACAAAGGAAAAACACAATTTGACTCTCGGATCAAATTATTGTCATTAAAATTGAGATTTTGTAAACTAATGTCTAGTTTTATTAGCCATTCAATAGCTGAGTGCTGAGGAATGTATGGCAAAACCATAGGACAAAAATGCATGTGATTTTGTGTCGCGTGTAGGTTGAGCTCAAAAACACTGTAATTACTTTAAATCCTTGTTTATAGCAATTGATAAATAAGTGCATCACTTATATAATGGAAATACTTTTTGATATAATGAACCAAAGACTGATTTTTATCGGATTTAATGCAAGATTTATTATTTAATTTATTTGAGTTTGAATTAATCACGTCATTAATTCTGTGCTTTATATATACAGATCTCTGAGCATTAGATATGAATTTGTATTAAACAGTTATGATAAATGTATTTTAATTTTGGCGAACAATTTCTTTGATTAATAGATAACTATTATTTAAGTCACAGCTATTTTTAGTTCATTAATCTCGTTTTAATTAAATTAATGAAATATTTTGGTTTCAAAATAAATTACAATATTTTATAATACGATTTGAATAATTATGTGCAAAACTCTTTGGCTTTAAATTCTTTGCTTAAAATAAATATTAGCCAAAAAAAGTTTGTAAAGATTTTAGATCAGTTGGTCATGAATTCAAGAAACGGGTAATAATTCAAAAAATATAATAAAATATTGTTTGCAGCGAAAGATAAAAACATTTATTCATCAAATAAGAGGTCTATTTTAATGGGAAGCAAATCCTATTTCTAATAAATATATTTCTTTTGTAAGTATTATTTATTGAAAATTCGTTTTAAAATACTGTGTATTACAAGAGCTTAAGTGCCGTATAATTCGTAGGTTAACTTCGATTAGTATAGAGCACAGAGTGTGTCAACTATTTTAATGGCTTTCTCGCAAAAATTTTTTTTTCTATAATTGACTAAAACAGAAAAGTATGGAAAGATAGGCACAGGTAAGGGAAATGGACTGCGATATGTGCTCTCGCATATAAAAAGCCAAAGATACCACAGGTTTGTACACTGTATTTGTGTTATACAGTGTTATAAACATCTGTAGAGAACATTAGCCTTAAAATTGATGTGCATTTCATTGAATCTTCAGTGAAGAGACTGAAGAGACTCTTGAGTTTATCTGTCAGTAAAGAAAAAATAAATTAAAAACAAAGACAGCGTTTAAAATAACAACACTTTCAATGGTTTGGTTTACCACAAAAAACTATTTATTATTTCGCACTTGTCTTACACTCCCATTATATGACAATTCTTACAGTGAAATAAGATTATCATTAAACAGGTTTACGATCTGTTTTTGTGTAAAATAAAAACATTTTAAATAAAAAGAAAATGTGATAAACAAATAAGAAATGTGAAAAGACTTCAAAAAATGCATTTTTGCGCAAAACCGCTGATAAATAACTAAATGCATTGACTTTTATTTTTTACCCAAAAAATAATCATTAATTTGAGAAATAATGTGTTTGTGTTGAGAATCAAACGCCAAACAAGTATTTAATGTGAGCCTCGATTCCGAGAATCTTATTGTATATTATTATATGCATTAAAATCACTGAAAGGTTACCATTAAAAAAGAGGTTCTGATAACACATGAATTTTTCTTAATTTGATTAATATATACTTCAATGGGTTATCAGAAATGACTATTTTTACCAAAAATATAAAAGTATACATAAAAACCGGTTAATGTGAATGTTCTTTACCTTTAAAATCGTATAAAATATTACACTATACTATACTTATATAAACGATAATATTTGATGTTTTATAACAATATTTATTCAGTTTCATAATACCATAAGCACTTGAAAATTATTAATTTAATTGATGTATTCATTTGCGTTTTTGAGGACTTGGCTTTAAATAGAAAGACGTTTGTCTGTTAATTGATTGATTACTTCAAAAACACACACAAGTTATTTGTCTTAATTATACGCTTATTCTTCGGGAGACAAGTTCAATGTCATACATATTATGCAAACAATATTCAAACAAATATTCGTGTATTTTTTCATTTGCACAGCTTTTTTATCGCAAATTCTTGCTTAAAATGTTACTCATATTTTTGATTGCATTTTTTGTAAACAATATTTTTTGTTTGTATAATTAAATACTTTTTTCTCATTAATAATTAACATAACGTTATAACTTATAAGGAACGATATTTAGGCATAAATTAATGCATGTTTTGCATTAATGTCTTTTCAGTCATGTTAATCATTGCAAACAATATTCAAACAAATATTCGTGTATTTTTTCATTTGCACAGCTTTTTTATCGCAAATTCTTGCTTAAAATGTTACTCATATTTTTGATTGCATTTTTTGTAAACAATATTTTTTGTTTGTTTCCTAATTCTCAGAATTTTTTAGACCATTGAAAACACCTAAACATTTGCTGGAATTTTGTTTGCAATGATTAACATGACTGAAAAGACATTAATACAAAACATGCATTAATTTATGCCTAAATATCGTTGCTTATAAGTTATAACGTTATGTTAATTATTAATGAGAAAAAAGTATTTAATTAATTGTTTGCAATGATTAACATGACTGAAAAGACATTAATGCAAAACATGCATTAATTTATGCCTAAATATCGTTCCTTATAAGTTATAACGTTATGTTAATTATTAATGAGAAAAAAGTATTTAATTAATGGTTTCTGTAAATACTGTAGATTTGCAATTATAAACCAAATTTCCTTTCCTTCCGTTAAATATATTTATTGTTTAAATAACTTTTCCTTTTATT